GTGCAACCTCTAAATATTTTATGGAGAACACTAAGGAAAGAAATTAGGAAATTATTCCTTTCAATAAAACATAAACATCCATATTTTAAAAACTTAAAAGTACTTAAAAGTAGAAACAAGTTTTTAGAAAATTACTTACAAAATCCATAGGGAAAAACACATATGAAAATGTAAATAAGGCTACTATTAGAACAACCAACAAGTGGTCACCTCACATGCAAAGCTCGAAAAATTAGGATAGGTGCTCAAAGAAAACATCTAACCCGAATCCACCACTGAAATGATCCGGTACATGTCCACCCTCCAACAAATACTAACCAAAATGTGGCAACAAACACCACTAAGCTCACTAGAGAAGAAGGATACATATGGGGCAGGAACTGTGGAGAGAGAAGAAGAGGAAGATCATCGAGACGAAGTAGTAGAGGGGAAGGGAAAGGAGGCTACCTCGCAAGCTAGAAAAAACCCACAGGTTTGCATGCAAACACTTCACCAAAAACTCCCTAAACCGGTGGGAACCAGCCCCTATTTATTGGGAAGAAAAAGGGAAAAGAGCAATTAAGGTAGGTAGTTAAAGCACCACACAACCACTAGGAGCACCTCAAAGTTGCAACAAAATAGAGACCAAATGGATAGCTGCCAAGGGGAAAATTGAAGCATCAACATAGCATTTAATGAGTAGGGAAACCCATGCGACAACTCAAATACACAGAATCCAACGCAGATTTTTCAAGAGACTTAGGAAATAGGATATAGGAGTGATGTAGACAAAGTGGGGGGGGGTCAACCCATGTCCAAAATAATATGAATTTTGGCTTCCCTTGAGTCTATATGCTAAATCAAAATTGAGCTGAAATTTTAGCTCATTTATGAGCTGGTCTTTAGTTCACTTATTGAACTAAGGGTTAGCTCATTATTAGCTATGATTTTAGCTCATAGTTATCTTTTTATTAAATGTATTTTTAATATTTTAAGTTTTAATTTCTTAAAGTTGTCTCTTGGGTTTCCAAAAAGGGCTTTTGGAATCCCAAGCTATTTGTTTAGTCTTCCCATTGTGGCTCCTTGAATTCCACCATGGCTTTATGTGCTTTTGCCCCCTTGGATTCCGGCCGGCTGCTGGTTTCCCGTGCCTGTGCTCCCTCCCGTGACCGTGCCCTCTTCGGTTTCTTGGCTTGGGATTTATTTTTAGGTGTTTTAATGTTGTGATGTTTAGGTTCTTGTTAAAATTAATGTAACGTGTCTCTTTGTATTCCCTTTCATACCTATATATATGGGAGATTGTTTATATTTGAAAGAAAGTAATGAAAATGTGATTTTTGGAAAAGTTATAACCTGCGTGTTTGCTTTGGAAATCCTACGGGCTCTTTCCACCCTTCTTTCTCATCCCCTCCGAAAATCCTGCGGGCTCTTTCCACCCTTTCTTCTCGGGCTTCTAACCTCTTTCGTCTCTCCGCAAGTGCCACTCCACCTGTATCCTTCTTCAAACAGTGAAGCAACTTTAGGGTGTCTTTGAGATCGAGTCGAGTTTGTGTTTTTAATTTCTTTTTATTTCTTAATTTGAAATGTAAGAGTTTGTTCGTCCCTCTTCCTCATCTTTAGTCATTTTCGTCGGTAGAAGTCCGTATCTCTTTTGTGATCGAAGAATATAGGGTCCCCTATATTTTTTGGTCGCATCAAGGAGGGGAACGACTAGCACAGGGATCCAGAAAAACAGATTTTCCAAGCAGAGTAAAAATAAAAAATTGTATGGAAAATAACAAGAATTCCAACCAGCCAAGAGGGGAGCAAGCCACGTACAACCCAACCTGAGGGAAAATAGAGGAAAGTAGCCCACATGGAATCAACCCAGTAGCCAACCATGGGAAAACCCAAAGAAACAAAGTGAAGGATAGGGAGAGACACTCCTAAGAGCACCAACCTAGCATGTTCCTCGGTTGCCTTCCATCATAGGGTAACCAAAATAAAAATTACAATACATAATAAACCAAAATACATAAACTAAAAGAATACATACTTATTTGACTACATCAAATATCTTTAGGATTTTAAAGGCATGAGAAGAGGAGGTAACACTTGAGAATGCTAAATTACAAGTACTTGTTGTAGATGGTTTTTCGTGTACTTCTAGTAAGCCTTTTTGTCTTTTTCTGCATTGTAGAAGGCCCCGTTTTCTCCTTCCCTTTAAGAACTTGCGTACTAATCAACATCACTTTAGATAGTCCTTTTCTATTAAGAGGTATTGAACATATATTTTTAAACTCTCACGTTGGATCTAGATTTCATCCCTTAATTCCAAGAGAAGCCGAGACCAAGGTTAAGTAGAAATTGTTGTTGTTGTCCATGCAGAGAGAAATGTAGCTCTTTTCATGGGAAGAAAAAGGAGATAAATGAGGTAATGCAGTGGAGATAAATACGGTAATTGAGTGATGAATGTTATAATAATATGATCAATTTGTAGCTATGCAACTATGAAGGCTGCAACAATGAGAATTTTTTGTAGCAATGCAAAGCTGAATGCTGTAGTTATGGAAAAATAAGAGTAGAAGAAGAAAAATAGCTGCATCAATGATGACTCGCAAGTTCTAGGTAATGAAGGTTGAAGCTTATATGCAAGGATTGAACAATTGGATTGTTATATATGTGACTGATGGAATGATTTAATGAGAGTATATAACAATCCAACCGTATGATTGGATTGCTTATGTATAGAATATAATAAAATAAAAAACTTGATTGATGGAATGATTAATTGTTGTATACATGATTGATGGAATGTTGCAATTATAAAAGAATAAGAGAAAAAGAAAGAAAGAAAGAGAATTGCATCAATGATGACTTACAAGTTCTAGGCAATCCATTGATGAAAGCTGAAGCTTATGTGCATGACTAAATGATTGGATTATTGTATACATGATTGAAGGAATGATTTGAAGAAAGAGAAATGATATTTTTTCTTTACATAAGCAAATCCAATCTTCTTATGGAAGTGATCGATGAAATCTTGTATGACAAGATCATTTTAGGCATACGGGTTTTTTTAAAAAGTTTCTCCTTTCCAGGCTCTATTCTCTACTCTACTTTTAGTCGACTATCTTACTTCTTTCTACATATCATTTCCTTTAGTAAAGATACTTTTTCTTCACCACGTCGGGGATATAGGAGTTGAATCCAATTCAAAATTCTTCAGTGAACCTTCCAATGTGGTTAGTAGAAGGCTGCATTCTGATAGAATAATGAAGATGGGACCACCCGCTCGGGCTCCAACCTCAGTTTGGGCTAGATTCGAGCTATGCGCCCATAGGCCAAAATGTTAAAAAAAATTTTAAGGCTTGATATCATGATAATATTTAGAGAGAATTGGTTTAGTTATTTATTCCAACATTAGTGTAGTATTTATGCAATTGTAGGAGAGCTTCTAATATAAAATTTATAAAATTAGAGAATAATGATTGGAGAATAATTATAATAGTTAATGGATTTATGATTTGGTTGAATATAGAATAATTACATTATTCTATGAATTGATGAGATGATAATAGGGATCCCACGGATTAATGAGGCTGCAACAGAAAATGAAGGAAAGATGTCTAAATTCTTGATGAGTGTAATCTAAATTGGCGGAAATTATGCGGGCTTTCATAGTAATGAATGTTTTAGAGAAGAAACATTCTCTTCTATGGAGCACACACTAGTGCTGATTGGGACAATTAAGCAATCTTTTTGCATGTCCTGTCTTCATTGTTTTCGTTAGAACTGTTAAAGAGTACTTCTACACAAGTAATAACAAACAACCATGCCTGCCCTAGGGTATCTTCAACCTCCCTGATTTACTATCAGACTATCCTGTAAAGGCCATGGATTGAGTCTTAAATTCTTTGCTTATTTGTTAATTTGTTTATTACATCCCAAAATACAAAACAACTAGCCTATAAATAGGCCTCATGAAAACAAAAGAAATAAAAGACTAAAGTGCCCTTCGTGCTACAATACTACATGACCACCCGCAAGGGTATAAAGGAAAAAACAATAATATGAAATAAACTAGTACATATAAATAAATAACTCAAGATCGTAGCCGTTGATCTTCGATGTCCTCATCATTGCTACTTATTTTAAATGAGAATGGTGGAATATATTTTAACTTTGATATGCATATTATGTTTTGGTTACTAAATACACTTTAATTTGTTCTGTCTTTGTAAATTTATTTTCTTGTCCATTCATTCTTGTTCTACATGAGGATGGCAGATGTTGGGGGTACTTGATATTTGGTTAGTAGCCAATTTTATAACCTATGATAAAATCATTGAACTATTTTATCATGAATCTTTTTTGTAATACTGTTCAACTCTTCTCTAGAATTAATTTGTGCTTTGTTGCTAATATAGATTCTAGGAAATTTTAACACTTGTATTATTTCCTATTTTATAAATTATGAGCTAGTTATTACATGTAAATTGCTAGCTAGTCATGAGTTTTTGATGGCAATTCATGAATTGTTGCTAGTTAGTCATTGGTTAATGCTAGCTAGTTTTGAGTTGTTGCTAGTTAGTGATGGGTTGTATATCTCATCTCAACCAAAATAATATAACATATTCTCATTTCTATGTCTTCGACAGTTGCAATACCATACATTTGTCTTCACATCTTGATTTAATAACTTACCGTTTAATTTGTCCTGAATTATTTTTTTCTGCTTTGATTTGTGCTCCTGTTGACAATTCTAGATCTTTAAAGCTGAAAGTATATTTTTCCCGAGCTTCTTAGAGTTAAACAGTTATTATGCTACACTACTCTGTGTTCAAAATTAATAAAATATATTGAAATATCTAAAACATCCTTAATAAAACAACTAACAACGTTAGATACATTTTGGTTGATCTACGACTGAATCTGCATAATATTTTTCTTCATAGTTCATTAATTAAGGTTTCACCACTTAACAACTTGGATAACAAATTTCACATCTTCCCTGTTACTGACTACTTCATACATGGCAGGGTCTCTTCCTCTCCCTTGGTCCACCAGAATGAAGATAGCTCTTGATGCTGCAAAAGGCCTTGCTTTTCTTCACGAGGAAGCAGAAAGGCCAGTAATATACCGTGATTTTAAGACATCAAATATCCTATTAGATGTGGTATGCAACTTTACTTTCGATTAAAGTATTGCATTATTCATTATGCCTGCATGTTTCTTTCTAATTCATTTATTCTGGCAGGATTATAATGCCAAACTTTCTGATTTTGGGCTTGCCAAAGATGGTCCTGAGGGAGATAAGACTCATGTGTCGACACGGGTAATGGGAACGTATGGATACGCCGCACCCGAGTATGTTATGACAGGTTTGTTAAGTTCACTGTTTCACTATTTTAAATAGTAACGGTGTCTGGTTATCAAGCCAGTATTTGTATGATTGCCTCAGATGGATTCACCTTTCTACATTTAGATTCATTGTGAAGTTTATGAAATCAGGTTGTTAGCAGTTTTCATTTTTTTTATGGAATAGGACATTGGCTTCTAAAATGATACATCTTATTTAGACCAACTAAAAAGAATAATTTTAGCTGTAAATACTTCGTTTTCATAGAAGAAAAAATATTACATTTCAGTCCTCCGTGCTCATTGTTTTTATGCTTTTTATTTTTCATTTAGTACTAGTCGTTTTCAAGAATTTGCAATCTCCATTTTTTTTTTACTCCATTCTTTGAAGCAAAGGATGATACTATACAATGCATACTAGGCATTCCTTAATATGCAGGGGCGGATCCCCCATCCCCCTTTAGCTCAGGGGAGCAATTGCCCCCCTCCCCCCCCCCCCGTCCCCCCCCAAAAAAAAAATTCTTTAGCATATGATTCTTTAGGTAATTTACCTCGCTCAATCTATTTTTTACTTTTTTGTACAAGGGTTTTTAGGTAATTGCCTCCCCTAAAAGTTTTAAAATGCTATCATCTTTAGGCAATTGTCCCTAGCATAATTAAACACATTGTATAGAGGTGTTATTGTTAGGGAAACGATGAACAAAAAATAAAGAGAAATAGTTAAGAGAATGTATCATTTTATTTACTAATTTGAATTCCAAAAGTATCCTTACAACCAAAATTTGTAAGGACCCCATAGCAGGTCTAACCCTGTCAGGGGGCGCTGCCCCCAATAGTTACTTATAAGTTTGCCCCCTCCTGAAAATTAAGGCTGGTTCCACCCCTGTAAACATGTGAAGTTGATAAGAGTCACCACCTTCTTTGAAGAAAGCTAGCTTTAATAAGCATTACTAAACAAAGCTGTTTGATAAGGGTGTGCATTTTTAATAAAATTTTATTCATCATTGTTACTAAGTTTACTTTATTATGAATAAAAGTAGAACTCTAGCTCATTCTCCTTTAAAAAAAGTCACCGAAATACACCGTTTCATTATTATTTTATGCAAAAAGTGAAGTGAAAGTAACTTTTAATTCTTCATTGGTGAAACTCACTTCTCTGTTCTATGAATGCTTACATCAGAATAAACCAGCCCTCTAAAGTGTTACTTCTTTAGAGATCTCATTAGCAATACTGTACCAACAATCTGCATTTTTCATTTGACAGGGCATTTGACATCTAAGAGTGATGTCTACAGCTTTGGAGTTGTCTTCCTTGAAATTCTGACCGGCCGTCGATCCATGGACAAGAAGCGACCGCACGGCGAGCACAATTTGGTTGAATGGGCTCGACCCTATCTGAGGGGAAGACGGCGCTTCTACCAGCTCATAGACCCTCGTCTGGAGGGCCATTTCTCCATCAAAGCCTCCCATAAGGCCATCCAACTTGCCAATCAGTGTCTCAGCCGGGATCCCAAAACAAGGCCTCTCATGAGCGAGGTGGTTGAAGTTCTGAAACCTCTGATAAACCTCAAAGACATGGCTGTATCTTCCTCCTTATTCCAGACCATTTCAGCAGCCAAAACCAGTAACCTGAATACCAGGAATGGTTCTTTCAAGATGCAGGGCTCCTTCAGAGCTCAAGGTTCTTTATCAAGAAATGGACAGAAGCCAGAGAGCAACTTCTCAAATGGCGCTCAAGCCACGCCGCCTAACCAGACACCATTGAACCAGACGCCGAAGACTAATATCAGTGAGAAAGAGCAATGAATCTTCTTCTTCAACTGAGTCTGAACTGAAATGGAAGATCAGTCGAGGTGACGGCGATTCAATTGAAGATCTCATGAGATTATGTTTGCGAGTCAACTTTCTGTTTAACAAAGTTTTCCCTTTAGATTGTTTTTCCCAAATTTTGCGGAAAAAGCTCATCTTTGAAAGTTAGATTGTGGGATGGAGCTTTAAGAAGAAGATGGATCTGAGCGTTTTGGTTCTGTGCTGTCATTTGTAGTATATATTTGCTGTAATAAATGGTAACTCCATCCACAGTGTTCAAGATTGATTAAGATAAGGTGTGATGAAGCATCTTATTTGTTCTCTAAAATTGAAGGGAGTTAATATTGCCAAAATGCTACAGAAACCAAATGAACTCAAGGTAATTAGATAATTGTATATAACATATTATTTCATATATTTTAAAAATAAGAATTAAATAAGCTCAAATAAAATTTTAAAGTTTTGAGCAGTGATTTGTGCTTGTTTATTTGTTAATACATAAATTATAAAAATTGATAAAGTATTTATTTAATGACGATTTTTTTTTTTTGTGATTTATTTTATGTTATTGTACTAACACTTATAATAAAAATATTAAATGTATATTGAAAGATGCATAAAAAATCTAATTTATTTTTTATGTAACATCAGCTGAATAAAAATATTGAACAAATAATTAGATTAAAAGGTTAATTTGGTCATAAAATACTACAAATAGCATTAAGCGAATTACTGAAAATTTTGATTGCGGCTTAGACTCCATTTATTGCTACTAATAGTCTGTTTGTTACATCATTAGCATATATTAATAATTAATTAGGCTTTTTGTTTAAACTTATTATGATGAATACGTTTATTATTAATAAAAGTCTTATTTTTAAAATCATCATCTTCCTATCAATAATTAACTAAGATTGGGGTGGTCAGTCTAGCTCTGAATTTAGGTGCCTATTATTTATAACAATTATAATCGTAAATATTCAAAAAATAAACTAATCCTATCTTTAAATAGTTAGAATTAACAATAAAATTTCTTAAACACTTAAAAATTATAATTAATATTAGCTTATTTAAAAAATATTATTTAGACAATACAATATCCTATAAACATATATATTCAAATCAGTATATTAAATATATAAATAATAAATTTGTATGATATTTATAATGACATCCCCTATATTTATAAAGACTATCATAAATTGCAATCTTAATTATGTAAAATAAAATTAGCTAATAAATTCAATGAATTAATAACATAATCTAACTTCCTACCCCGCTATCCCCTATCAAATCCTCTAATCTCTCTCCGCCACAAACCCATAGAATATAAAGGCTACAAAGAAGAAGAAACTGAACGAAAAGAGAGAGAAACCTTCCCGAGCCATCAATGGCGGTCCTCCTTCTCGCCTCTAACCTCTTGTGTTTCTACCTGTCGTATTTTTTCCTTAGCCACATAAAATAACCTAAAGCCTCCTCGCCCTCATCGCCAAGACCAACAGAAAAAAGACCGAGATTTGGGCAAAATGTATAAAGGGCTCTCACTCAATCGCCTTTTTGAATTTTGAGGTTCGGCGTGTGGTCTCCGGCCATTTTAATTTCCACCTTGACCAAAAACCTTAATTCCCACCTCTTATTTATTTATTTTTTTCTTATTTAAATTCATCGTTGAATAGAAGAAAAAAGGAGAAGGAAGAATGGAGAATCATAATTGTTGGCTCTCGCCTTTCTTTTCTTCTTTTTCTTTTCCTCTTTTTGTTTTTCGATGTTGTTTCGTCCTGACATTAGGCGAATTCGATGAGTTTGGAAGAAACGCGCAGAAGCCGCTCGTGATGAAGCACATGCGGCCTATTAATCCTGATCCTATTGCTGCCACAAATGACTTCAATAAGGCCGTCCACAAGTAAACTTGTTATTGTCATGCAATCCGATTGTCCTATTGATGGTTGATGATTTTGTTATTATTAAGGAGGAAATATTATTACTGTAGAGTTTGGTGATTCAATTATTGACGAAAAATTATTACGAAAAAAAATGACAGTTTTATGATTAAATTTCTGCCCTTTAAAAGCTCACAAACATGAAATGCAGGGCTTTGGCATAAGAACGAAACAATTAGCAGCAGCCAGCAGCAGCAGCAGCAAGCAGCCAAGCAGCAACAGAAGGGGATTATCGGTCAATTAATAAGGGGAGAAAAAAGAATATGGCGGACCCTTGCCGCGCAACAAACCCAATCGACCCGCGCTGGCGTGTCGCTCCTGATTGGGCTCACCACCGGATAACGTTCTCGCCACCTGACGCCAAAGTGCTTCGGCCGCCGCGCTGGAGGTTGGCCGCAACTGGCGCTTCTATACGTCGTCACCGACCCCTCCGACCACGACCTCGTCATCCCCGCCCGGCACTCTCCGGCACGCCGTCATCCAAACCCAACCCTCTCTGGATTGTCTTCAGCCCGCGACGCATGATTCATCTTCCGCCTCAGCGAAGAAACCTAATCGGTCAACGCTACAAAACCATAAGACGGTCGCGTCGGCGCCTAGGATCCACATCGCTTACGGCGCCCAAATCCACCATCAAATTCGTTTCACCACATCATCCGTCCACAACTCCCACATCCAACGACATCAAACCCGGCAACGGGCGGCTATGATTCGCGATTCCGTCAACCATTACGGCATTCCGCACCCGAGCGACGGCGATGCGATTTCGATCTACCGTTCTTCGAACATCGTGGATCGATCACATTTCAATGTCCAACTGCGCGCGATGGCTGATCGACGCAATCATGGGTCGACGGCGATCACTGTGTTTTCCAACTGCCACATTGGGACAACCCACGACGGATGGTTTCTCGTTCGGTTGCTGAGGCGATTTCGTATTCGGCAGGATTCTCTGATGCCAAGATAACTGTAGCTTTTAACCATCTCGCGCGGGACGGGTCTGTGCATGAGAATGCACGAGGTGTCGGTGGTGGGGTTTGTTCATTGGTGAATAATGATTACTACGCACTGGTTGATGTATGCGGTTGGGAGTAGTTCATCCGTCGGATTAGTGAGTCAAGGAAATAGGTGATATTCGCGCACCAAATCGGGCGGCGAAGGAGGTGACGCATAGGGATTATGTTGGGGGAATGGAATGGAGGAATTTGGCATTGGAGATCAGAAGGGGATCTGATGTTAAATGGGGCGTTTTTTGTTCAGTCGGGGAAAGAAGGATTCATAAGAAATATACGAAGCAGGACATGATAAAAGCCCAAGCCTGGCACTTTTGTGAAGAGATTGACGAGGTTTGCAGGAACTTTGCGTTTGGTTAGAGTTGGAAGGCAGTGTTTGAGCTGCTGATTGCTTTCACTCCTTTGGTGTTGGGAGGTTATATGGAATTTATTTCATGTTCTTTATTTTTTCTTTCATAAAAGTGCTTCTTTTATGGATATATCATTATGTGATTCTCATATTGTGTGACTATGTGTTTTTTTTTTTTTTTAAATTATATTGAGTTACTTTCTTAAAGTGGTAGTAATGGAATGGAGAAGCACTGTATCATTGAATATTATATATAGGTACATTGAATGAATGTTTGAAATTCTTTGATGATTGAGAATAAGGGCATTTGAATAGATGGCTGAAGTTGTTCAACAATTATTGAGAATTGCTGTCATAACAAATTTTAGAGGACTTTTCTGGTATTATTAGTGTTATGATTTTTCGAAAGAGACTAATGCGGTTAGGGAGTCATAATATGATGAAATAGGGGAGTAACTGAGTTCAAGCCGGCTCGAGCTCGACTTGTTAGCGGGCTGATGAGTCGAGCTTATCGAGGCTCGCGAGTCTAGCTCGAACACAATTTCGAGCTGACAGCTTACAAGCCCGAGTTCTTTGGCGGGAAAATGGAATGATGCAGGCGGGAAGACGGACCACTGGGAAATGAAAACATGGAAATGAAAGCCACGGCTCGTTCAGATATCGGAGCAAGAGGAAGATGTGCTAGCGAGCATCCGTTTGCTTCCCAGCCTTCAATATTGGATAGCTCTCATTGCTCCTCCACCGGCACAAGCTCTCGCAAGCGACGTTACTCCCAGGAGGCGGTTCATCGGTATCTCCGATTGCCGACGTTAATGAGGCTGAGACGTCAAAGCCACTACCCGAGCGACGTCGAAGCATGTTGCTCGGTTCACCACATCGTCGGCGCCGACGTCAAAGTCACCACCGGCAACATCACAGGTGAGCTAATCTTTCTCCTTGAATATCTTAGAGCATCCGCTTCTCTCCCTCCTAAAACAATCGACTTTGCGGACATGCATAACCGGTGGAAGACGTAGAGGACGCAGGCGCTGATGCCAGAAGAACGACGCAGGCTCTTTAACATGCTTAAAGTGCGGCTCGACGAGCTCAATTTCTTCTGCCGAGCGAAGCTCGATTTCGGTATTGATAGTTGAGCTCGACTCGAACACACCTTGACTCAAACTCGACTCGACTCGTTTGCACGCCTAGACAGAAAGAATCGTAGGCCTTTATGCTCCAACATAAAAATCAATAGAACAACAAAATGATCACACATTGCATTTGCTTTTGACTACTTTATTAAAAAGAGTTTCTTTTTATGGCTCCGTGAGCAAAATATGCAAACGAGGTATAAATTGTAGAACCATTAGACTGGGTTGAGAATTACAATACAAGCTCTTCATATATGTAGCACATAAACGCTCCTGCCGAAACATCTTAATATAATTTATGCTGAATGTTTTGACATGATTTTTTCTCCACTGAGAGTCCTCTTTGATATGGAAGTAGAGATCGTCTTCCATCATATTGATAGGTGTACGGTTGAAATTATTATTATTTTCAATCAAATAACCTATTCATTTATGAAATAGTGTGTATGATATTTAGAATTGGAATAATTAGCTTATAAATATATTTGATTCACATAATTACTTGAATGACGATAAATATAATGCATATCTTACCGCCTTATTGCTTAACAATATTATTTCAGAAAATGCTCTCTTCATTATAGAAGTAGCAATCGAAAATATAATGTAAAGATAGTAAAGTCAATAACTTAAAAGATACGCATTATGTTTTTCTTTTTTCCTCAATAATTATTTTTGCAATACTAACAATGCTTTCAAAGCTGAGAATTTATCATTGGTGTCATATTCATATATAATGAATAGTTAAAAATGCTCTCTCTCTCTCTCTCTCTCTCTTTTTCAAGAAACTATAGGTTTGTTTGTGGAGACTTAACGAAATTCTCTAATTTTTTTGCCATATGTAAAAATATTTTTCAATAATGTAGTCATATTTTACAAAATTATGGCAAAATTTTTTATTATATAGTACCAATCACATTT